GCGAGCCCTGCGCTCGGAGCCACAGCCCGCCGCGGCACCTCCCTCTCCTGAGGCGATGCCCCGCCGTCACGGGGGTCGGGTGAGAGACGCCGAGAGGAGAAAGGTGCTGGAAATGGTGTAGCTGGTCCTGTGCTCCCCCCCCCGGACACTCCAGCCTCCTGTGACAGCTCTGCTGGGGCAGCTGCACGAACTTCAGTATTGCAAACCTTCCACATCAGTGAGATTAATAAAGATCAGCGTAGCGGCGATTCCCAGGTTCGTGTGGCAGAGAAATTGTCTTCATTGTAATTTATAGGTTTGGTTTGGGTTTTTTAAAAGACAGCAAACACTCCCACTTTCCCTAAGAGTCAGGCACTTCTTACTCTTCCAAGCATACGATAGCTGACGTCTAAACTGTCCTAGTGTTTTCCAGACTTCAGAAAATAGAGCCCACACCCTCTGCCAGTTCTACTTCTCTAGTTGTATCCCATCTCCTCTCACTTTTGAATCCATTATTTGGCAACAGTGAAGCTCACAGAAATAGTAATATAGATTTCATTTTGCTCACACTACTGTGGCTCTTCCCGTTCTGAAAAAGTCTCACCTTATTTTCGTAACTAGCCAGAGTGCTCTGATGACAGGCAAAGGCGCATCAATGCAACACCTTACTAGCATGCAAAATTCAGCATCACGAGTAGTTATATCAGTTTATTTTGCTCAGATAAAAACAGAACTATAAAATGTTTGGTACATTTTATTTAGCGACATACAAGAAAGAATATAAATTGCCACACGTTAAACGTGCCACAAAACAGCTGGAGAATCACCCCACTCCCTCCCGCTAAAATTACGTATCCGAAGTGGTACTTTTCTGCAGAAAATTTGTACCAGAGAGCTTGCAGTACACCAGTTTATACTGCTGCTTCTTGATAATCTGGGTGGTATAAGAGAGTCACAAAGTGCTCCAAGTTTTACTTTGTAGTAACTGTAACTTCCTAAACATGTACTTGTGATTTTCCCAACATGTGTGTTCCACTTAAATGCACAGCACCCAATATAGGTGGGTATCACATATCTGTAGAGTCAGGATTCAAGTCCATTCAAGACAACTGTATCAACAGGTCACAAATTAGTATGTATGATGGACAAGATAAAATACACAGCATAAGCTAAACATGCAGAGCATCCTTTTCAATGCTAGGTGTGGATTCTGTGGGTTCCCCCCACCACTATACTTTAGCCCAATGGAGCTTAATGTTAGCATCACTGCCCAAACCCAAATCACAATTTTAATTAATGAATGCAGATATAGTTTCCTTCATGCTAGCACTACATCAGCTCTCAGTCACTACCAGCTTTAAAGTGTGTTTTTATAAGCCTTTAAGGCATGTAAAATAATATATGCTTAGAGTAAAAGAAGTACGATGATTTACTTCTACCAGCAAAATCTCTCTTCACCCCCCTGTGTTGTTTCCTTCCTTTTCAGTCTCTGCCCATATCCCTCTATCACTGGAGCGGACCTAAATAATCTTCTATTACCAAATGAATTTTGATCACTTCCATGCAGCATTCATTTGCAGCCCCTTCTTCATCATCCCACTAAAATCTTTAGCAACCAAGTGCAGGACAATGAAAAAATCCAACAGAATTTAGGACTCTAATAGGGAATATAGAGGACCTCACCTCTATTTCAAAGTGGCCATAAATTCACTCGCCCAGATCATGTCCAGCTGATAATAATTTCTTTCAGAGACTGTTTAATTTCAGTTCTCTCCACTTATTTTATCCTATGGATCATAAGATTTTTTGCAGTAATCCTTTCCAAAGATAAGGCTGAAGGTGTATTCAGGAAAAAAAAAAATACTCTAATCAATAACTTTTTACAAAATAATCTTCACAGATCCTTGGTGAGGTATTAACTCTCATTTTTACATACAGGGAACTGAGGCACAGAGAAACGACTTTCCCGTGGTTAGAGTAAATCAGTGACACAGCAAAAATTGCAGTCAGTTCCTGCCTTTTGACCTTATGATCACTTCATTAGACCAGGCTGCCTCAAATAAAAGTGAAACAAAGTATGTTGTTTGTTTTTATTAAAAAAACCAATCACTTAGATGGCAGTAGACTTTTTTCTAAAAACCTCAGGGTCTTCTCTAAAAGATTTTCAGAACCATTTCTGAAAAGACCTCGTTAAATACCAGGTTTTGGGGTGGGTTGTTTCTATTAAGCCATGCAGTGTAGAATATGAAGATTTCAAAACAAAAACTCCAAGACATCAGAATGTGTACACATTCTTATCTGCCATCACCTTAAACCACAAGGCCTGCTTTTTGCTACAGTCATTTGCTTCTTGCACTTCACTGAGTGTGAGCAGTAAAACTAGACAAGTCTGTTTAGCTGCCCCATTCTTAGGCCAATCCATTAACTTAATTTAGGATTTCCAAAAGCAATATAAATACTTAAAGTTTAATCTACAAAGTGTTGAGTTAAAACCATGACTATACATGTGATCACACTTCTATTAATATCAGAACTTAAAGAATTTTAAAAATAAACCAAAATGACATATCTGGAATACTTAGCATCCTTTTAACGCCATATAGGATCTTGTTTCTCAAACTGCAAATACCAACATCCTTTAGGAGTTAGAGAGTAAACACCCCTCTCTTCCCCAGCCTTAGGCCACTCCGCAATTTAGCAAATTGACTCTCAGGGCAGTATAACCATCATACGTGGGCACCATCCGATATGTCCAACAGAAGGTCAATACAGCACAATGCGTTTCCAATATAGTACATGACTGTAGCAGCATACAGACCCCAAGTAACAGTCTCCAGAACTGCCTAGAGAAATCTGGCTGACATCAGATTAAACTAGTATTTGCGAAGAGACTTACCAGCGTGTCTCTGTTAACGTCCAGCTTTTTTCCTGCTCTGGAGTTAATGCCTCACAAATAAGGTAATTTTACCTTTATATAGTGTCAAACAAATGCAATTTTTTTTTCTCCTTAAACCTATCCTCAAATGAAATGAATATTCTTAAGTTAGATACTGGATCAGAGACTCCAAAAAGTAACTTAGTTGGTTATCAGCTCACAGTAGGGGAAGCTAAGAAAAATGTGTAGTTTAGGACTGACAGCTGAAAATAAATGCAGAGGAAATTTTTTTTTTTTTACTGTGGATGATTTCTCAATAAAAATAAAATCATGCCAATTTTACAACTCCAGTAGTCTCTTAGTATCTGAAGCAGCACTAACAAAATCTTCATAGAATTGTTTGTGGTGGAGGGTCCAGACAATAATTCTGCCTAACTGGTGAACTAAACAGAACGCAGACTCTTAATCGTGAGAGTCTTTCTCCAATGCCGTTGAAAACTGTAACTCACCACCAGTCTATCATTAACTCCAGATACAGGTTAAAAAAAGCAAACAAAAAACACCATTAGCAAAACCTGCTTGAAATGTTTTCTCTCAGGGCTACAGAAAAATTAGCCAAATTCTTTATTCCACTAGTAGTGAAACCGCCCCCCATGGCAATGGTTACATGATCACATTATCTCCAGTCTACTTCAAGTCCATATAAAGTCACATTTATTTAGACTTAACACACATGGTTTCCAGTGATGCTTCTGGTTTAGGCTCCAGCTTCTCTGGGAATTCTAGTTTTTCACAGATTGTCTCCTTTATGGGTAAATACTGAGAGATCTCATTAGGTTCCGTGAACAGGGAAGGTGGAACGTGCTAAGAAGCAAAAATTTTACAAGAAACGTGTTAATGAAAGGAGGGGAGGGGAAAAAAAAAAAAAGAAAAAAGGTATTCCAAAACCAAACTTTTACAGACAATTAATCCATAATTTACCTGATTTAAACAGCTAAAGGCAGGTATTATTATTAAAATTTACCTTATAACTTCAAACGTACATACAGTCTTTTACTCCTTGTGTGGATCAATAGGCTAAGGAAAGGTATTTAATGTCTTTAAGCAGCAGATTATAAGAGTGCAAGAAAGTCAGAGGCATTCATGAACAGCTACAGTGTTTTAAAAAAATAGATTTATCATGTGAATGGAACAAACAGTCTTTTTGAGATTCTAATTCTAGATGAGACTAGGATGGCCACAAGGGATCCCATGCTTTATGCCTTCTAGCCATTGCAATATGTTCACTGGAGTTGCTCAGATTTAGCTATTGATAAGTGATATACCTGAATATGTATCTTAATTTTATGAGTCCACCACAGACATTTATATGAAATACTAAAACTCATTGGATTTTAATTTCATATTTGAAGAAATTAGGTAGTTTCATTAAGTTAATCAATAGCTTTCTCTGGAGATTTCTGTAGACGACTTCACCACATACAAGACATTTGATGAAAAAAAAAAAAAAAAAATCTATACTGAGCAAACCACCTTCAAACTTTCTAACAACATTCTTCAAGAAGTGTATCCAGAGCTATTCAAATGCAACCTGTATTTTGGCTACCCCTAACATGCAAGGAGTAATACTGCTGTTTCAATTATTTCAAACCTAAGTGAAGCAGGAATCTTTTTTGCTTTACCTATGCAAGCTGGTCTAGGGAACTGAAAAGCCGTATGCATTTCCTCTCTATAACAACAGGCAGTAAAAATTATTTAACAGCTTGGACGATAATTTTTAAGCATGAGGTGAAGTAAAACCTAGATCACCGATTTATATTTCAAACCCCACAAAACTATCAAAAAGCTTATGTCTGGATTAGTCCCGTTTATAAGGATTACATATTGTTAAGAAATGATGCAGTGCCACTTTCCTCAAAAAGAAAAGCATTTTGCAAAAATATTCCCTCAGGTGGTTAGTAACACATTAGTCACTTTTTACAGGTGAAGGAAAAACAAGGGAGAAGGGAAGTAACAAGAATGCCCAAGATGAGGTATTGGGTCAAGAATGAAAATCAACAGCTGCAACTCCAAATGTGCCACAAATTATTCTGAGCCATTATTAGAGTTTTAAGGTAGGCTATTAAACTTATTTGAGAAAAACTTAATGAGTCTATTACCAAACAGATCTTAACCCCTAGTACTACTTGCAAGCATGCAACCAGCCCTGAAAGTAAGCATCATGAGACATGGACTACCTGATTTTGTGGCTGAACGCTTCTATGAAAAAATAAAATAATAAAAAAATCTTGTTAACTCAAAAGTAGAAAAAGTAACCCAATGTGATTTGAGCATTTACAAATGTAAATCTGCCCTGAAATCACCAAAATGTTGTGTAAGCAGAAAGGTTTTTCCTCTTTATCAATTCCAAACCTAACAAAGAATGACTTACAGACACAGTATTTTCTATGCTGACCATAAAACAAATTTAAAAAGCAGACAGGGAAAAAAAAAAAAAATTAAAAAAATGCAATACCTTTAAACTTGATATTTTGCTTTCTCTGGATGTATATTCTCGCAACATGTAGGCCTTGTCAGCCTAATGGGAAAAAAATGGCAAAAATTAATTACAAAATTATCATCTAGTATCAGTGCAAAATGAGCATTTTAAATACATTGAATTTAGTAAGCATTTGAATTTGGTTGACCACAGATTTTCACCTGGGAGTAGAAACGTATGTTCAAATTCACAAAGACAGAGAAAGATGTTTAGCAATGTTCTCTTTCCCAAAAATCACCTTTCTGCGTGCGTGCATGAAAAAAAATTCTATGCTTGTTCATCTTTATTCAGCTAGAACTCCTACATCAGTACGAATACAGCTAGACAGAATAAGCAAACCACAACTGTTACGTTCTGTATTACTTATGAGATACTAGAACTCAATGCCGCATGGACAGTTATTTGCAAGTTAAAACTTGCAATCATATATTAGACAAGCCAAAAAACATTTACTTGGAGACGAGGATAAGAACAGTATCACACCATTTACTGTTGCCACTTTTTCCTCTTGCACTTCCTCTCTAATCTGCGTCTGTCAAATATATTTAAATGATTACTTCACATGAAGGGTAGCCTACTCTGCTCATACAATACCTAGCCCCGTGGCATCCAGCACTTGGTTGCTACTTCAGCACCACCACAATAATAAAACATACTTGAAAGTTCAGTTCAGGCAACCTCTATGCCCCCAAACATCAGTATTAAATTACAGGAGCATCAACAGGTCTTCTCCGAAAGTAAATGGCAAGGGAGCATCTGTAAAATATTCATGATGGCGAATAAGGGTTTACCTCATGATGAAGCCTTGTATCATTCATCCTGATAAGTACCCCATCAACTCGCAAGAAAAACCTCAACAGCACAAAAAAGCTGGAAGGCATAACTCTCTGCAAAAATAAAGATGTTCCATTCAGCATATTACAAAGTTTTACTTTAAGTATGCACTTATCTACATCAGATATTCCCAACGAAAGATAGTATGAGGAGTTTTCAGTAGTAAAGTCAACATTTGGGCTGTTGATATGCTACAGCTATCATTGGACAGCAGGGCAGACAGTGTCTCAAAAGATTTTTAGGCAGCAGGCAGAAAGAGGGCAAAGATTGTTCCCTGAAGCAACTGACAGAAAGATTTCAAGACAACATAGTTTCCAGTAAGATTATATTTCTAAGAGTGAGGATAAAGAACTTTGCATTTTAAACTTTAAATCCCAGAAGGAACAACATGCAAAAAGTGACTGCATTTTGCATACATTAGCCAACTGAGTCACCAAGCATCCTGTATACACCCCTCGGTACTCACTATTTTTACACTCAAACTTGATACTCCATGGTCGTGAAGTTCATCTTCAAACAGAAGTACTTCTTCAAAAAACATAATTTGTTCCCTGGCTTTCAATTTCTCTGTATTTATGTGTTCTGTTGTAGGAACAACCTAAAGAAAAAGATTAAGAATAGCTAACATATTAATTTGTGCCAAGCTACATAAAGTTTGTCCTGACCTTTTAAATCCTACAATTGCTAGTTTAGAAAGGAAAAAGCTTTTAGGGCATCAAGCTTAAGAAATCCCAAATTTCTATGAGAAAAAGTTAAAATTAAAACGAAAGTTTCACAGAGGAATCCTCAATCAAAGCAAAAAACAAGAGTGGAAAATTCTGAATAAACTTCCTCTGGGTACAGACTCAGTAGGGTTTCAGCTGCAAACAATTCTGCTCACTTTCTGTATTTCAAAACATTTGAAGGTGCCTCGTGTTTAACATACAAATGAGAAGTTCTGGGTTATAAACAGGATTCCATGCATTTAGTATCTCTAGCCCACTACAAACCCCGAACAGGATTCTAATAAAACCCTTCCATGGAAACCAAGTACCTGTATGCTTTCCATCTCGTGGTCTCCATATACACTCATACGCTTCCACTGCCTAAAGACTATGGGCCAACAAGACATGGTTTATTTCTGTGCTGCACTTTTAATTCCAGAATAACTCAAGTGATCTATAACTAACACAATGCTAGTGAATTAATATAGATTATCTGCTTAGTAGCAAGCAATCTGTATACAGTAAAGAGAAGCTGGGAACTTCAGTCTTATTTTAAAGTAAATAAAGACAAGGGAGGACCTGTGAGTTTAAAAATTAGGAGTTACTGTTACAGAAAAGCATAAAGCCACTGAAAGCAGCCAGATCTATGAATCTGCTTAGACAAACAGGCAAGCAACAGAGAGTAAAGGTACTAGAGATTTACACAGCTGACAGTTCTGTTGTGTTGAGCTCAGGGCTTCAGAGGGGCATCCAGCAAGCGCTGAAGATTCCCATGTGCTTTACTATATGAGTAAGTCCTCACTAAGGGACACAATGGCACCCTTTTATATAATCCTAAAATGCTTTAAAAAAAAAAAAAACAGTTATTAAAATAAGCCATGATTTGATTAGGATAACGTGCTGAGAGACACGAAAAGCCTAAACTATACTTTGAAGTCAGAAACTATGAAGCATGAAAGATTTTACAGAAGCCTATTGAAAGGTAAATGACAGCTTAAAAAAAAAAAAAAAAATTTGTGTTTGACTGAAACAATATGCAATCAGCATTTAACAAGGAAAAAATAGTTACCTTTAAAGCTGCAGAATCTCCCAGCAATGTTCCTTTGTAGTCTGTTGTGTAAGTCCAATCATATGGCTTGACAACTTCCTTAGTGTGCTCAGTCTCACTCCTCAAGAATTGAAAGAGAAAACACCATGCTTTGTAGTAATTCTTAAAAAATTAAAACCTCACATATACGATTCCCAAACCCTTCAAGAAGAAAAACAGCAGTCATTGTCTGTGCTGCAATGACGATGTCAAGACTTAATCATGCAGTATTGCTTCTTTCACAACATCTGTTTCCATAATAAATTAGAAAATCGTTACCAGCATTCCTGTGCTAACACTATCTCAGTCCTGTGAGTCAAAATGAAGATTTTAGTTCAATGTTGTTGAAAAATTTGTATTTCAAGATCATTTTTTCTTTAAGTAGGCAGAAAGCAACCTGCTGGTAACACACAGCAATCATTAACACTGCTATTTGCCTTAGCTTTCATGACAACTTTGATTTCTCTCTGTCCTTTATTTCTAGGTGCTCTGCAACTAATTTAGTAAATACTACGCAGTACAACTAGTTCTCATGCACGGTAATTGTTCTGCTATGTTCCTAAGGCTAAGACTTTGAACATGTACAGCATTTTGCACTTTGAAACACCACACAATACAATCTTGTAATGCTCGAGGCCCTATAAGTGTGAATAAACAGAAACAGCATTAAGCCATGTTAAACTTGTAGTTTATTTTAAGAAAGCCAAGACACAACTGAAAAATATAGTTGACCCAATTTAACAGATAGGATGATCATGGTAAAGAAAAGCGAAGTGACTTCTGTGATCACACACTGTGTGTACAGTAGAAACAAATGCAACATGGCCTCCAAGAGGTCAGTCTGTTCTTTTAACTACTTTATGACAGTTTCACATAAAACACACCAGTACTTGTCCACTGGTGATAAAATACTGTACCTGCTCTCTTGCCACTCCTCTGCACAAGCCACTTTGATCATACCTTGACAATTATTGACACATTTTAAAGCATCTGTTGCATTGAACTCAATTCCAAAACCACGATCATGCTGTATTCTTAGGATATTGTCTCCAAACATCATCTCTGGCAGGGAAGGCATGTGTAATTCATCAGCCAACCTGCACAGAAAAATAAAAGTCCCATGAAGAGAGATCAGTCAGCTATAGTTCAGTGAAAGCAGTCCTTGTTTCGGAATAAGTATTCTTTAGACCACGGTAATTTAGAAGACACATCATCAATATGTACTGCAAAATTTCGTTGTTTTCCCAGTTTAATCATTTGACATGAATTGCAGAGTCGTTGATCCGAAGTGACTTTTCCACCACAAAAGTATTCCTAAAACATTCCTTCTCCATCAGGCTCGTACAAAAGTCTCATAAGTGAGTAATCAAAAAAATATCTGACAAGCATGAAGTAGCAGCTTTCAACTTGTTGTAGCAAATCCCTGGATGGTCCATGAACTACTTCGGCAGGTGCCCAAACAGAAGTTTTAGGAACGAGCACTCATTGTCAGCAAGTTTAAATTCACTACACAGTGGGCCATACCTCCAAATTTAGAAGCCTACAAAAATGGGCTGAAGACAATCCTGGCAGAGTATGTGAAAAGTGCAGAAGACACTAGTGTGCTCTACTACTTTCCCGAGCTGGTAGAGAATACACACCTGTATTTGTAACCTTAAGCATGAAAGCCACAGCCATAGCCACAGACCCAACTAACAAACTACTGCATGAACCAAATAAGCATGATCCCTGCAGAAAAATCTCAAACCATCCTATTTCACATTTTGTTTTACATCAAACTTTATACTTATTTATACATATGTACATATATACATACACTATACATAAATACACACACACACATATAACACCACTTTATATACATACTGACCTTATTTACCAAAAGGCTTCATATACTTCTTTTCCTCCCTACCACTACCTACTTTACTTATCAAGATCAAAAAGAAACACATGACATCTGGAGAGAAGAAAACTTTAGGAAATATACTAATTATAAGGAGGGGAGGAAAAAAAAATGTCTTAATCGCAACTTTCACATTGATAATAAGGCATTCCTCAACAAAAGTGGTTATTTCTGTAACCCTGCATACAAAAGAAGATTACGCTAACCAAACTGAAACAAAAATAATGAATGCGTAGACCTGGAGAATAAGATACTATGTCTTTCCCTGAGAAGGCAGAATAACGTTATGAACTTTTCCATTTCATCACGTGCAGGCCCCTTGACCTGCAAAGACCAACTCCAGCACAGAAAGGAGTTCTTGGCTATGGCACATTTAATCCTTCACCTTTCCACAGAGATTGCTGAGGGATTTTTATGATATATGCTTGCCAGAAACAAAACTCCTACAGATGCTAATGATGTTCCCCTAGCAATAAAAAAGGCAAAATGCCAAGAGAAATACATTATAAAAGGAAACTAACTAAAAGCACTGCAACTGGATAGTTCTTGACCCTTCAGATTTGAAGTGGAGGAATTGTTTTGGGGATCTCATGCTAGGTACCAAGACCTACAGGTAAACGGCTAATTTTGGACTTCCTTACCCTGCAAAATCCTCTGTGTTCTTTCATGCCTGTGTTGCAGCTCTTGTAGCTTTACTTTTCAGCCTTTTTCAACATGTTCTGAAAAATTGCGTGTCCCTCAAAAACGTCTAAACAGATAAAGGTAATTTCTGAAAATTACAGAGGTGACTGTTTATTTTAAAACAGCTACAGTTACAGAAACTGAATAGATCAGAAGATGAACAGAGCAGGCAATTTGGCTTCTAGACTGGCAGTTCAAGTCTCTCTCTTGTTTATAGATAATGAAGAGAGTTTACATCCTCCTGATCTTAAGAATAAAGATCTTCATTTTTAAGAGGTAGCATCCTACAAAATAAGTCCTCACAAACATGCCATAAAAACAGGATACTCTAACAATAGCCCTCCTTCCCCTGCAGGACACAGGTACAGCTTAGCTGGATCTTGACTCCTCATTACAGAAAAATGACTAAAACACAGGATTCAAGTTTTCTTGCCTGTAACTGCAAAAACTAAAGGACCATTAGTCAGAAGCAGTTTGAGAAGATTATTTTAGGCATTGAACACAGGATAAAGATGGAGGAAGGAACATAGTTTTTACCTGGTTTAAGGCAGATATCCAGTTTTAAAAAAAAAGTCAGTATAATGCTGTTATGTTAAAAAATTTAGCATTTACATAGTTTACTATAATAAAAAAAAAGTGTAACATTTCAAGACATGGGATTTCCACGTATGTATTCCAGAAACTGAAACCAAGAATTATCTGTCAAATTCAACTGCCACTAAGGCACAGCTGAACTGTTCAGTTCCACATAAGCAAATCTGACTTGATGCTGACACAGGAACATTTTCTCCAACAGTTTGACAGCAGTAGAAATTACTACTACAAGGAAAGAGCAAATAATAAATTTTTAATGAAATCCACTATCTTAAAATAGCCATTACCACGAAATAGCTTATGACAGTCTGTGGAACACATTTAAAAGAACCTTAATCACCATTAAAAAGTAATTAAGAAAAACAGGCTTCTTATTAGCAGGCTTCAGTTCACAGAGGTCCAGATCTCCAAAACCGTTAGCAATCATTCAAATCAAAATTCTGGAAACCATCTGTAACCCAAATCACCCCAGTTTCTCAAACCAAAGAATCAAGCCCACCCTCGCAAAAACAGAGGGAACAAAAACCCCCAAGCTACCAGAATAAAGAGCGTCTCCCCTGCCCAGGGGACGTTATTTGTTCCTTGCACAAGGCGAGAAGGCGCCCCGAACCCCTCGCTGTCAGGGAGCGAGATCCCAGCCCCGTGGAGGCTCCTCCCCGCG